CAAAGTATGCACTGGTCATTGTAGATGACTACAGCAGATTTGATTTCTGCTATTTACTAAAGAGTAAAATAGAGGTGCTATAGAAATTTAAGCAATGGATAAGCTTTATAGAAAGGAGATATAAACCACAGGTATGTCCGCTGAAAACTGACAGAGGTTCAGAATTCATGTCAGCAAGTTTTCATCAAATCCATATACAGCTGCTGAGAATGGTGTAGATGAGAGGCAGAATGGAGTCTTACAAACAATGAAGGACTCACTGCTAGAGGATACTGGTCTGAGTAGGTCATATTGGGGTGAAGCCATGTTGACTGCTAATTATTTAATCAATAGGCTGTGGAGTTCATCTATTAATGATACTCCATATGCAGTATTATATGCGAGAAAGCCACCTCCGGCACATTTAAAGGTGTTTGGATGCAATGCATGAGTGGGTGCATATTCCAAAGGCAATCAGGAGAAAAGGTCAACCAAAGACTAGAAAGCTCGGGTTTACGGGCTATGAGCCTGTAACACCTATTGCTTTAGCGACAGGAGCAAAAGAATAGTGATTTCCCGATCCGCTAGCTTTGCAGAGCAAAATTGGAACAGAATTGATGCCCATTTTTGGCATGATCCACTTAGTGATGGTTACCCATTTAGTGATGGTAACTCACTTAGTAATGGTGTTCAGGGAGAAGAAGCTGAAAAAGAACAAGAAAAAGAGTCAAGAGAAGATGATGACTCAGATATGAAGCAAGAGAGGGTTGAAATACAAGAGCAGTCTATGCCACGTAGGTTAGAACTATGGAACAAGGGGATTCCACTTGATTGGTATTCTGCTAGTGAAGTAAAGATGTGTAATGTGTGGCATGAGCCAAGGAAGTATTGGCATTATGTAAAATTGAACAAGTGAAGTGGAAAGAAGCCATGGACAAAAAGATGAAATCCATGGGTGAACATAAAGTGTTCGCATCTATGACTTTGCCACAGGGTTGCAAAGCCGTAGGATGTAAATGGGTATACAAAAAGAAAGTACTACCTAACAATGAGGTCCAATATAAGGCAAGAGTAGTGGCACAGGGTTTTTCACAGAGGAAAAATGTACACTTTGATGAGGTATTCACACCTACAATAAAAAGTGAAAACATAAGGTTGGCACTAGCGTTCGCAGTGGCACATGACCATAAAATTTGACATTTTGATATAAACTCAATGCAGAATTCGAAGAATAAATTTACATGGTTCAAGCATCAGGGTATGAAAGTGAAAAGCCTAACACTGTGTATAAATTGAACAAGGTCATTTATGGGCTGAAGCAGTCAGCCAGGAATTGGAATGTCTGTTTAGATACGGCATTGAAGGGTCTTGAGTTCAAGAATTGCAAGGCTGATCATTGCATATATATTGGAAAGTTACAAGGTGGGGATTGTCAATTATTACCATTTGTGGATGGTCTTTGTTTCATTGCAAAAGATGTGTCACAGAAAAAAAAATTGCTAATCAAATAGAGAGAAAAATTGAAATAAAGGATTTGGGTGAAGTACAAAATTATCAGTGTAGAGATGCAAAAAACTGAGAAAGGTGGTTATGTTCTCAGTCAAAGAAGAAAAATTGAACAGCTGTTAGAGAGAGAGAACATGAAGGATTGTAATACTGCCCCAACACTTATGAGCACAGATTTGCATAACAATTTGGGTAAGGACAAAGTAAAGCCTGTGATCAAGAGATATATCAATTAGCAATAGTGAGCCTGTTATATCTGTCACAGTGGTCCAGACCAGACATAGCTTGTGCAATAAGCATCTTAAGTCGCTTTACTGAAGCACCAACACAGTTGCATTGGATCGGTGTAAAAAGATTTCTCAGGTATTTGAAGGGAACTGTGAATTTGGGTCTTCAAATACAGGTCTCTGAAGAATTAAAGTTGAAATATTATGTTAACAGTGATTATGTCAATGCTGTAAAAAACAGAAAGTCCAATTCTGGGATTGTGGTATTATTTGGAGGGGCTTTAATTGGTTGGAAGTCCAGAAAACAAACAACTAGCCATTTCTACTGCTGAGGCAGAATTAATTCAGAGGTAACTTGGCATGTACAGCTGTTACAGAATTTAAACATAAAGATAAATGAAGCTGTAACGGTATTTGAAGATAATGCTGTTTGCATTAAAATGGCAACAGGTGACAGAGTAAAAAATAGAAGCAAGCATGTAGATATTAAATATTGTAAATGTAAGAGAAGCCATCAAATGTAAATTAATTAGCTTGCTTCATTGTTCTTCAGAGGACAATCTGGCAGATATAATGATCAAGCCATTGGGTGGGGTGCACCATGGGAAGAATATTAAGTTATTTGGTTTTATGTCTATTCCAGTCATAAAGGGAGGAGAATCAGTGTATAAGGATTCATGAATTGGAATAGGCATGGCAACAAGTCAGACAATGGAGGGACAGAGATGGTATTCAGCAGGTTCTGACCAGTTCAGGAGAACCGGTAGCAGAAATTTTGAGTAGTTCAGAGAACCAGCAAATACCACCTCTGACTGGAGATTTTACAGTATCCTTCCCATGCCACACCCACCAAGCCATGCCCACAGAACCAGTAGTAAAAAAAAATTGAATCCCACCACTGTGGGGAATGTTTGGTGACTAAGACACAGGATTTGTTGTGTGAGCCATGCAAGATGGCTTGGAGTCTGGGTGTGACTTAGCTTAACTGTTCTGTGTATAAAAGAGTTCATTTTATCTTTGTTTGAGAGTGTTTGTTCTTGTACTTGCTATTTCATCTTCTCTTTATCATGTTGCAAGAGCTGCATAGGTATTGTATACATGCATCATGTTTTATATTATTGTATATAAAGAACTCTTCTATATAACAAATCCTGCTGAATTATTTGTTTGTATGCTGGTTGGATTGCTACAAACTGCAACATTTCCAAAACTAACAAGTTACGTAGATCTCATGAAATGCAGACAGTTGAGATATATTAAACTATTGACTTTTTATTGCTAATTTTCAAACATTAAACAAATCTATATATTCAGTTTTATTTAAAAATGTGTACATGTGTGAATTTATAGTTTCAAATGATACTTATTTTAATAACATAAATAAATCATATCAAAATGCATGATTACTACAAGAAAACAATCACAAATTCCATAATTACATCGTCTTATATTGCTTAAAATATAATACTTAAAAGATATTTAAATTATATCCTAGAATATTCCTATAAATAAATCATATAAATTATATCCAAATATATCAAACATATCAAAATATAATAATAAATTATTAGTTATATCCAGTGGTAAAACTCATTTAAATGCTATGGCAAACAAATAGTGATTCTTTGAAGATAAGTACTGTGTTAGTAGGTAAAATATTCTCAAAAATTATTCAAATACTTAAATATATAAAATTGTATCGCCAGATGCTATCAAAAATTCCACTTTTATAATTGTAACTCATTCAATTAGAGCTCCAAGGGAGTCATCAGTTGCATTGGGCTTCAGTTCCTATAATCTCTAACCATAAAATCATTAGGTGATCTGGCTGAAGATGAGGCAATTTGTGGTCCAACAAATCTACAGGATACCAGATTTAGAAAGACTTCCTTGTTCTAGAAACACTAATAAATTTGATGGTAGGGGTCAAGCATAAAAATACTATTTTCTAAATTCATTTTTTGCAAGAATGCTTCTAAAAATAAGAATCTCAGAATAGAAAGGGGCATCCAATTCTTATAAATATCCAACATGAATAGATGCTTCCATATAATTCGTATACACCATAATGGGGAAATCTATAACTAACTCCAACAATAGCTCTCCAGAGGTATTAGGATCACATCTATGCAGAGGTGGTATTCAGCAGATTCTGACCAGTTCTGGAGAACCGGTAGCAGAAATTTTGAATAGTTCAGAGAACTGGCAAATACCACCTCTGACTAGAGATTTTACAGTATAATTCCCCTGCTACGCCCTCCAAGCCATGCCCATAGAACCGGTAGTAAAAAAAAAAATGACTCCCACCACTGCATCTATGGCATTGTATGGGTGAATAATTGCCATCTTAATAATTTTGAAAGATATATATAGCAGATAGGCTGCTTTAAGTTTTACTGTACTAACTCTCACCATACCTGATCCACATACAGTATGGATAAGGTCTGATAAGAGTTTAAACCAGTGACTTCTAGTTGAGCACAATTTTATATTACTGTTCTACACGTTAAACAACCTAATGCTATGATGATGGTAGTTCAAGAGGAGCTTTCTGAATTCACAGCCATTTTTGTACAAGGATACATGACTGAAGGTGCTATTGTTTAAATACTTTTAGTTAGTCTGTCCTCAGCTTAATCAATATTAAATTCTCCTTTACATTATAGTTAAAATTATTTGACATAAAAACATCATTTTCTCTTACATAAATTAGGCCTATTGTAATAAAACAGTGATCAAAATCTTTTTCAAAAATAAGCTAATATAATTATTCTTACTCTGGAAAGAAGTAAATAATTTGACATATATCTGAATTCTCACAAACTGCAGTATCCAAAAATATTTGTAATTTTTTTGTATCATATGAACAAAGATTTCTGTAAACTGACCTTAACATTGACCTGTAATATATATTGCTTTTTCTTCATTATATGAAAAACATATCATTTTGATCATCCATTGTTCTTCTTGCCCTGGTGCCCCTTGCTTGCTTTCTTTGAAGCGCACGCATCCCTCAGATAGTCATATAGCAAATCAAGTTCACCAATCATTTTGTTCATTCCATTGTCTCCCAACTGAAAAATCATAGCAAAAGTATGGTCTTCAACAGATCTGAGTACACACTGCTTTGCATAGAATTTTACTTGGTGATGATTTTTATAAAGGGCTCTACTTAATCTAGTATCGCAAAATATTGCTTGTTTGCTTTAACATATGGAAAGTAGGGGGTTTTTGTTTTGCTTTTGTCTTTTGTTCTATAGGATCTGTTGTGTTATCCCATATGATAGAAGACATAAGACATACAGTCAATTATCAAGCCTATTTAGGGTAATAATGACCTTGCAGAACCTAATTCTGATATCTCATACACACAACATCAAATAAAATGTAATCAAAAATTATAAAACAATTTTAAAATATCCTATGGCCACTTGAATAGCAACTTAAAAACTAAAATAATTAAAGGAAGCTTATGCTATATTAAACAATTTGGACTTCAAATTGTCATTATGCAATTCTACAGCTACTGCAGATTTTGACTGGGCTTACTAGATGTGAAAGCATGGAAGATTCTTTTAATCCATAAATTGGAGAGTTAAGTTTCTGTTGAAAAAAGATCATAATTCCTCTGACTGATACCTGTACTGCATGTTTACCTGCATCATGTTAAAAAAAATGTTTCCCAATATATTGCAAAGAGAGAGAGAGCTGTTGCATTTGCCATCACCAAGATTATTACTTTGCTCTGATATTGTTTGCCATCATAGTGAAAATATGCAAAAGCAAATATGCAACAGTTCAAAGTTTGGCAAAATAACATACTCAATAAAAACTAAAAATCAAAATAGGAAATGTTGAAAACAACTGAAGAAATGGCGGGTGAAGGAAGAAATACAAATAATGTGGATGCAACTATAAGATGCTACTTGTCAACTTTCCCCAATTTCATTCTTGTCTTGATTTAACATGGTCTACCTTTTCTCCAATAATATATCTACAATCCCTGAAAGCTGGTCAGAACTATTCTAAACATTTAATTCAACCTTCCATAGTGACAAAAATAGGCAGCATATCTCCATTGCTCTCATCAATCTATTCTTAAATTAATGTACCTGTTCTAATTTATTTTTCATTCTTTTCAAATTTCCTTCTATGTATGTTGTATCTGCTGTTGGTTTCTGAAAAGGAAAATATATATACATATATATAAAACAATGTGGTTTGCATTTCACACCTCTTTCTTTTTATTTATGTTGAATTTTAGAAATCTTGGATGTTTTGATTTGAGGTTTCCTCTGCTACTGTTATCAGTACCAGAGCTATGGTATTAGATGTAGATGATTAGATGTAGATGAAGATGTAGATATAGATGTACTGTAGATAAACAGAGGCCAACTCTATTTGCAGTTTGAAACCAACCAAGAAAAAAAAGAAGTGGATGATTTGAAGAAAGTTGAGAACAAGGGATACAGAAGAGATAAAAACCATTTGAAGTTTTCTCCAAACTGGCATTTCCTTTACATACTGTATGCTGAAATATTCCTCCCACCATCATCTGCAATGAAATGGTCTGTATTCTGACAGGAGAGAGTGTCTGCTCAATACACAATTTTTATGATGCTTACACAGTCACGCAGTTCTGTAGTCAAATGCGCAAAAAAATATATTACTTCATGGAAATTGGGATTTGGGTTCTTCAGATCATGGAGGACATGTGTGACAGTATCTGTTACTCTTTTCATTAAGTAGCAATGTTCATTCCTCTGCAAAATAAACAGGCAAACAATGGAAATTGGACTATGCAGGAATAAACACACCTACGTACATCGACAATTGCAAGAAGGGCAAAAAGGAACAAGTAACTAAACATGTGTTATGTTGTCCTGAGCAAAAACAGAAGGTATACATTAGCATCCAGTGGTCAGGATGTAAGTATGTAATGATTGAAATCATGTCACTATGCCTGTCTCAACATTTTGACAGTTTGTTGCCCTCTGGAGGAATGAATCACTGAAGCCAAGATAGCCCTGACTCTGGGCCTGAAGACTCTTCAGTAGATTTGCACATGTGATGCATATAAAAAAGGACTTTGATGTCATAGTTACAGCTTTTGTTTCATTTTTCAGATATTTTGCTGCAGAAGCTTAAGTTTATATTGATAAAAAAATTAAATTAATTAATGCATGTTTAAAATAGAGTCTCACCGTGACGTTGATGTATAAATCTTGTCCCACAAACCTGTTAACTGTGTCCTTATCATAAACTCTTGCCTGAAAAGAGAAACAGGAAAACTGTAAGGCAAAAAAATGAGACTTTACCTTCGTGAAAGTCCTATTTTGTAGCTACTAATTTACTGGAACTGCAGTAGCTTTCTAATTTCACCAGGGAGTTTTAGAAACCAAGAAAAAGGTAGAAATAAAAAGGTACAATTTTTTTTTTGAGCTAGCCATAGATTCATACACAGCATTTTGATTTTTTTAAAAATAAACACAGTGGCTGATTTCTGAATAACTTGGTAAGCATTATGCCATTTATGACAAACCATGGCAGAATCACAAATTGGTCTAAGCTGAAATCAGACAAACCAATATGAAAATCTGGCAAAAAAAAAGTAAAGTTCACCAAAATAGAAAATCTGAGGAATTTGCGGGTGAATCTTGACATGGAAATCACAATATATTGTAAATATTTAACAAATCCGAGATTTACAAGATTTATAAACAGAACATAACAGGGAGCAAAATTAAACAGCTGACAATGTGCAGAAAGCCAATAAAGAAATGGACATGTACCAAGCTGCTATGAGATTGCCATGTAGAGACTTCTCGATATGTTCCACTGAGTTATGGCCTTTTCAAATTATACATATTATATATCCAATTTGGGAAACCCTAACTCACCAGGACAAATCCAGCTGTCACAAAATAGCCTGTCTTTTCAGAAAGAAAAAAAAAGGCAGAAAAAAAATGGATGCAAACTAGAAAATACCCAATAGAAAGGTCCTATAACCCAACTCTGGCACTGTGCAAAGCCATCTGGTTTTACCTCTCTGGCCACGGTATAGGTCATGTTCTTGAAGGCAAACTTCCTGAAGTGATTTCGGCTAAGGCTGCAGGACTGATTATTTAGCGTGCCTGTTTGGTTCAAGGGCAAAGGACTTGCAACAGTGAGGAGGAAGAGGTAATAACAGCAGAACACCCAAAGAAGAGAGCATCTTGTCCAGTTCTTCCATGGATCCATAGTTCCAAAAGAATAGCAGTCAGCCCTGGAATGTCTCAGCTACAGCCTTGGACTTTTTAATAGACACAGAAAATTAAGATTACCCCAAAAAGACACATAAAATGAGTAGTTCTAGTCTAGTCATGTCTATAAAATAGCAAGGCATATACATTAGTACTTACCTGAACTTTTTGGATGTCATTTAAAACAGTCGAAGGTACTCTTATATATGCGTGTGCGCATATCCATTGCTACTATGCTCAGACAATACAAATGAGTTAAAATGACATCATCAGGTCTCACACTTTCCACTTCCTGACAATTTATTAACCACAACATTAAAAAAGCCACAGATACAGTAAATTACTTATGAAGTGTCCCAATTGATGATGCCGGGGGTAAAAAGGGGTTTTGTTACCTTAATACGTGCAAGTTAAGGTCAACCTAAATGTGATATCATGGTTTAAAAATGCAAATTATAGGCGGGAAAGACAATATATCTGGGTCAAGCTCACAGCAAAGAGTTAAAACCTCTCTTGACATTTTTCCCATCAAGATCATTACCACAGGTCTGCTGTTAGACCTTTTGAAAAGATAACTCATAAACTGATGGAAATTCTAAGTATCTCTGATTCAGTTCTGCTGGTTGCTAGAATTGCAGACAATATATTCTATAACATGGAAGAATCTCTGTCTAGAAATGAGACTGGCCTGCGTTTTGTTAGCTTTCCAAGAGGTACTAAAACTCGAATTGTTTAGAAAGCTTTCAAAAAATGTACGACATCAATGCTGTTTGGACTGCTGCTGTTGTGGTGAGATATTGTGGAGTAAATAGGTAGTCCTTATAACCATAACTGAGCCCAATGTGTCCATTGCTAAGCAAAAGAGTTGTAAAGTGAGTTATGCCCCATTTTAAAACCTTTTTTCCCACAGTTATTAAATGAATCACTGAAGTTGTTAAATGAAACATATAGTTGTTAAGCAAATCTGGCTTCCCCCATTGGCTTTGCTTGTTGGAAGCCAACTGTGAAGTTGCCAAGCACCCAAATTTTGATCACATATAATCATAGGGTTGTTGCAATGGTAAAGGTGTGAAAACTGGTCACAAGTCACTTTTTCAGTGCCATTGTAATATTGAACAGTCTTAAATGAATGCTTGTGAGTCAAGGACTACCTGAACATTCAGTTTCTTTCATGATTACCTAGTACAGTGTTGTCTACAAACCAGAAAGTGAAACGGATTGGCCTTTTTATTTATTAGCCTCATGCCTATAGTTGTATGGGCTTTTTGTATCCTTTTTTTAAAGCCTTCTTTAAGAAGAGCGGAATTGTCTCCTCATTCCTTAGATGCTCCATACACTATGTAACAAAGTTACTAACCAAGCGTAATTGGTCAAATATATTGTTAATATTTTCAAGCCAAAGAAGAACATTATAAAAAAAGAAAGCAGAGTGTGGAAGCCAACTGTCCACATATATATGACACATATATATGACACACACATATATCTTCAACAGTTTCTTTTTTTTTCTTTCAACATCATTTGTTAAATCATTTGCAGCAACAATCATTTTATATTTAAAAGTACTGAGTCTAAACTGGCAGTATTTAGAACTCCATGTGACAAATTGCACTATTGAACATATTTTTAAAGTGTTTATACTATATATAACATATTTCTATGTTCTATACAAAACATTACAAACACACTTGACACATCTTATCTAAAGGAGGAACTAGGAAAGTTCCTGAAACCCTGCTGGACATAATACAAAGCCAAAAATAGGTACTCAAGATATGTTCAATAGTGTTCAGTAATTGAAGAGCCAAAACGGACTATACCAGAGAGTATTCTTCCCAAAAGTGCAAGATTGCAGCTGCTTTAAGTCAATCATAAATTAAGTGATGGTATTATTCAGAATGATTAAGATAAGGTAAAGAATTGTTTGCTAATTATCACTTTTCTATATAATTTGAATTAAATTTTCTCATATATAATCAGAAGAGCAGGGAGTATGAATCTTATATTGCTTCAATATCTTGCTTATTTTCTGGCAAATGGTAGTTTCTACATTTTTTAAAAAAAATACTGCTTTAAGCCAGTAGTTGTCAATCTTTTCTTCACCACAGCCCCACTTTAAATACCTTTTGTGTCATGGACCATGGCCACAGACCCCCCAGACTTAATTCAAGATTTAAATCATAACATTTCTTCAATCCTTTGTGGACCCCTTGTGATGACGTCGCACCCCCCCCCCCATGGTCCATGCGCCACAAGTTGAAAACCACTGCTTTAAGCCATGTTATATGAGATCCCATCTAGAAGAACAATAAATTGGTTGGAAGTTGTTCTCATTAATTCTATTATGCATATACAACTCTGCTGCACTTGCTACAGTATCTTGAACATCAAAATGATGTAGTCAGTCTATGCTGCTGCTTTCACTTCTTCAATCTGCCCTTCCCAGTTGGTTGGATAGAATCTAGGAGAACCAATTTCCGTGATTCTTCTTCAACCTTCTGAAAAATGAAAATGTCAGTAAGATACTGCAAAATTTTGAGGATCTTGCAATCTTGACCAAGTTGCTTTGGTAATAGAGTTCCTATTACTTCTTCCTGGAGTTCTCAATTCAGTTAACCAATTTAGCATTACAAAATTGTGCATATTGGTCTCCCAAATCCAACTGAGTTTTGACTATGTTGTTGTTGCTGTTATTGTTAATGAGAGCTTTAGCACTACTGATATGATCTGCCAAAGACTCAGTGTATATGTTGTGATTCCTAAACATTTTGTCTCTTCTTTGTCTAATGTAGATTATAATTATTTATTATTATTTATTTGTCAAGCAAGTATTAGATAACATGCATAAGTATAAACATGATTATGAATACATGAAATGGATACAAATAAAAAGAAACATCAGGACAGGGACAGTAGGCACGTTGGTGCACTTATGCACGCCTTCTACAGACCTCTTAGGAAAGGGTGAAGCCAACAGTAGACAGTCTAAGGTTAAAGTTTTTGGGTTTGGGGGGTTTGGGGGGTTTGGGGAAGAAACCACAGAGGCAGGTCATGTATTCCAGACATTGACCACTCTGTTGCTGAATTTCCTGCAATCAAGTTTGGTGCGGTTAACCTTGAGTTTGTATCTATTGTGTGCTTTTGTATTGTTGTGGTTGAAGCTGAAGTATTCATTGACAGGTAGGACATTGCAATATGTACTACACTTAGATCGAACTGAAGGCGGCATAGTTCTAGGTTGTTTAGGCCTAAAATTTCAAGTCTGGTGGCATACGGTATTCTGTTATGAGTAGAGAAGTGGAAGACTCTTCTTGTGAAATATCTCTGGACTTTCTGGATGGACTAATATGTTCAAGATTACGTTACAATTTTTGCTAGGTCTAAAATAACATTAACATAATGTAGCATTTACCACTGAAGAATTATAGCAGACATTCCCAGTTATTCATGACTTTTTATAAACATTATGTAATAATGAAAGACATGATATATTAAGTCCTACTTAGAATTTTTTTTTCCAATCACATTTTAGAAATATACCTTTTCCCACTTATAAACTAAAGAGTGGTTCCAAACCACATGTACATTTTGAGATTCCCAATTTGGTAATGAGTCAGAATGGCTGTTATTTTCAAAACTTAACCCATATTAAAAGCAAGGAAATAGGAGTTGCATCAAAAGCCACAATAATTTCCTCCTTAATTTTAGCTTTCAGTCATCTAGATGATCTCTGTTTTTTATCTTAGAACTTGTGCAGACTTGTTCTACACATATTAAACTTGTTGCATTTGAATGTTTGAAATTATGGCTTAAAAATTTGCAAGAAAATTTGAAAGATGAGATTTTGAAGTACTAACATATCAAAATAACAGCATCATGAAGGCAGATTTCTTTTTTATTAAAAAAAAGTTTTAAGAAAGAACATGAAAAGAGCCTGCCAAAGACCAAACAGAAGGAATGGTGAGGCAAATGGGAGAAGTTACCAAGAAGAAAAGTCAAAACCAAGAAAGAGAAAGATCTTAGATCTAAAGAACATAACAAGGAATTTCAGAGGGCTGATAGAGGGACAAAAAACTTTATTACAACAATATCTGTATGGCATTATTGACCATATACATGTTCAGGGCTCTGCATTTGGTATATTCTTTCTCAAACATACTAGTGCCAAGTATGACTGTAACAGGTATGTCATATCCAGGCTACAAAATCTCTGATATCTGATAACTTTGTTAAAATGAGTATTTACAAAAATATATTGACAGCAACAAGAGGGAATGAGTCAACATGGGACACATAGCATTAAAAGTGTGCAATATGTTCTAAACTTGAAAGAAAGCATCAAGTTCTGAAGTTTTGTCCCAACTTCACACTAACTAGTTTTATATTGAATAAAAGATAAAACACAGCTGTTTTAAGCTGTGCTGTTTGTTTATGTCAATGCCATGATCATGTTATTTTTAGTCACGATAATTAATGGTGAATCTTTTGCTACTTTTTCATGGACTTCATTGAAATTATTCCATTCAATGTTGGTTTGGATTCTGTTGGTATTTGTGTGGGCAAGCTGCAAAATTCAGTAAGGTTTGTGGGTTGGCTGTTTTTAAGAAAGCAACACTCTGGATGTTACAAGTTTTATTCTTTCAGAAATAGCCAACTTAGAACATTCCAGTGGAATGTAAAAATGGATCACAAAACAAATCCCCTTTTCCATTTTATGCATCTTATCAAGGCTTCAGATATATTCAGATTGCCATCACAAATCACTTTGGGCTTACTAATTAAACAAAGACTGGCAACTAATGTATCCAAAATACCGTATTTGCCGGTGTATAAGACGACTTTTTTGCCCCGAAAAACATGCCTCCAAGTGGGGGGGTCGTCTTATATGCCGGTATATCCACTGCCGGCTTTCGGATGCTTGTTGGACGCAGCGAAGGCGCCTCTGGCTTCCTGGATCCCCTGCGTCGCTTCCGCTTCATCCCGCTCGCCTCGCTCCGC